GCACCGTCAGCCTGATCATCCCCTGTTGTTGGTCGAACAAAAGCTTTGCAGTCCCATACAAAGTGACCCTTCTTTTCACATATGAAGCACTTCTCTTCACCATAACCATTCGGGTCCGACCCTTTAGACTTCCCTCTGGACTTTGGTTGGTCTAGTCGTCCCATATCCTTCTTTTGCGCACGCCCTCATGCCGCGACATGCAGAGCACTCCCACTGCTAGAGACCTCAGCTCCTGAGACTTTGCGGCGAGATTCTTCATCCAGAATTGCCCCAATCACCATGTCGAGCTTCATCTTGTCATGTCCATTGGCGTTGCTCACCGCCATCACCATATTCTCCCACGAATCTGGTAGACAAGAAAGTAGCAGAAGAGCTTGGATCTCATTGTCGAACTTGAGATCTATTACAAAAAACTGTTGCACCACATCCTGAAATTCGTTTTAGAAGTCCGTCACGCGAGCTCTTTACTGCATCTTTAGATTGAATAGCTTCTTCATCGGGTACACCTTATTTGAAACAGACGACTTCTCATACAGCACCTCCAAGGCCTCCATCAACTCCTTAGTGGTGGTCGCATGCGAGACGTTGTAAGTTACATGCTGGTAAAGGTTGAGCCTGATGGTGGCAAGTGCTTTATGATCGAGCACATTCCACTTATCGTCATCCATCTTCTCATGTTTCCCCTCTACTCCTTGGAATGGTAGGAAGAGATCTTTCTGGTACAAATAGTCTTTTATATACATCCTCCAATACCTAAAATTTTGGCCGCCGAACGTCTCAATCCGAAGCCTATTGTCTTCAACTGTAGATCCCATAGAGAAAGATTCCGTCTTTTCTCGAACCGTATTTGTGAATAATAATAGTACTTATGAATAGTATTTTACTCGTGAATAGTATCGTACACTTGAATAGTGTCCAGTGCCTTAAAAGAGTAAATGATAATCTAACTTATTTTCTGATGTGGAGGATCCACTTTTAATGGCAGTCACAAAGCATACGATAAGTAGATATATATACTCTAAGTCAGGCTCCGATACCAATTGTTAGGAATACACACCGATAAGAACGCCTCGAACGGAGATGCAATACACACCCAAGATTTTAGAATCACAGAATAAAGGCACAAATTCAATCACAGTACTCACAGATATACATGGTTCACTCTTACGAAGCTACTCTACGGTGCAACGACGACGCCCAGTTATTTTATATTCAAAAAAATTAGATAAAAAAGAACACCCTCTCTTGATCAAGATACACTCTAATAACTCTCACAAACTCTCTATTTGATATTAGGAAAAATTCTCTGTTTTTCTTTTCTCTTACTCTTCTATAAGAGGAGTTGTTTCTGGGATGATTTTTCCTGAAAAGTTTTTATCCTATTTATAGTGTTTGGGAAATACTATATAATAATAAAATATTATTAGTGGTGGAACCCGTCATCCCATTAATTTCAAATTCCTCAACTTTCGTTAAAAATTAAAAAAGGGGCCCGCCACTTTTTAATTTTCGACAATGTTGGCTGCTTTTAGCTAACAACATTTGCACCCTTTAGTTCCACAATAACTTTCTCAACAAAGGGTCTGGGAGCCAATCAAACTTTTCTTGGTGCATCATCTCTAAGCATCTCCAAGGGGCCGAATTTTTCCGGCCCCTTAGCTAAATTTGGGGGTTTTTAAGGGAGATGAGCTCCAAGGGGCCGGAAATTTCCCCCTTCACCCCTATGTCCTTTAACATCCTCCCCAAATTAAGGGGAAGGTTAAAGTCTCTTAACCTTCCCCTTATAATTTTATAATAATATATTTTGTTTTAGAGTTAATTTATAGTTAATTAAATTTAGTTAATGTATAGTTAATTTAAAATAATATAATTATTTGTTAATATAATTTAGTTAATGTATAGTTAATTATTATCTAAATTAATTATTTGTTAAATTTTAATATGATTAATTAATTTAATGATTATATAAGGTTATTTCTTAATCTTAATTAATTAATTAGTTATTTTTAGTTATTAATATTTAATTATTTATTCATTTATAAATAAACCACATATTTAATTAAATTCTAATCTATAAAATTAAAAAACTAAACATAATTAATTAAGGGGTAGGGGACTTTTAAGGGGGAACCATTGGAGGAAAACCAACCCCTCCCTTAAAGTTCCCCCTAAGTTAAGGGATATCCAAGGGATCCCTTGGAGATGCTCTAAGTAGCACATTGGGTTTAGGAGTGGTTGAAATAAATAAATGCTTGTATAATATCATCTTGTTCCACCTCATGCTGTTGGAACCCTCTTCAATTTGAATGTTGCATCAACACCCTTATTTTTAGCCTATTATGTTCTTTTTTTCTAAAAGGTTCAGATATCACATTAGGGCAAAACTTGAAAACTTTAGGGTAACTGGGCAAAAAAAATTGAAGGGAAAAATGTGTACAAGCCCCAAAAGCAGAAACTTCATGTAACGAGACCCCTCATAGTTTTCCCCCATGTGAATCAGCCCCTTGATGTGTGACACTTTGTACTGCAGTCTTTTTTATCAATTATTACATGCCAGCTAAGCTAAAATCCCCAAATTATCTTTATCCTCTCTCTCCTCAATCTCTCAGACCCAGCAATCATATCATCTTTCTCTCTCATCTCCCCTCTCTCTCTCTCTCTCTCTCTCTAAAACTAAGAGCTTTCTCAAGCTCGTCAACCTAGCCCTCGCCCTCCTCGTCGTTGCCGCCTCCGCTCAGGCCCCTAAGGCTCCCCTCGAGTTCGCCGCCATCTCCCCTCCCCTCCTCCACCCGTCCTCGTCGCCGTAGATCGCCGCCGCTCCCCGCCGTAGATCGCCGCCGTCGAGACGCACAGAGCATTAATCCATTAGCTAGAAGAAAAAAAGAAAAAAAAGAAAAAATATTTGACCAGCTACAAATAAATGAACGATTTAATTTTAAAAAATAATCAAAAGTTGTCCCCATTTTTTCACTTTCACGAGACATCCACGCCTTTTTGGAGGAAGCTGAATTTGCAATAAACCTAATGTGCGCGGTCTTTTTGTATTTTAATTTCGAACAAATTTTTAAAATAGACCATTTTTAAAGCTTAATTAGCAAAATAGGCTGAAAAAAATATTTAATTACCAAAAATCGTTGTAAGCTGGGACAGTAGTTATAAATCATTGTTATAAATGAGGATATAGTCATGTTTTTATAAATCGTTAGTAATTATATTTGATAATAGTTATACCTAATGATATGTTATTTCTAGATGCTATCGTGGTAGTTCTAGTAGCCCTCGAGTTAGTTCTAGCTTCTATTACCCTAGTTCTAGCTTGTATACAGCCAGTTCTAGCCCACACCTTGCTAGTTCTAAACCAAGCCCGTGTTTTTTATAAGCAAACTTGTTAATTCTAGCCTCTACGTTAGTTCTAGCTTCTATTACCCTAGTTTTAGCTTGTATACAGCCAGTTCTAGCCCACACCTTGCTAGTTCTAAACCAAGCCCGTGTTTTTTACATGCACACTTGTTAATTCTTGCTTCTACGTTAGTTCTAGCTTCTATTACCCTAGCTCTAGCTTGTATACAGCCAGTTCTAGCCCACACCTTGCTAGTTCTAAACCCAACAAGGGTTTTTTACATGCACACTTGTTAATTCTAGCTTCTACGTTAATTCTAGCTTATATTACCCTAGTTCTAGCTTGTATACAGCCAGTTCTAGCCTACACCTTGCTAGTTCTAAACCAAACCCGCGTTTTTTACCTTCACACTTGTTAAATCATGCTTCTACGTTAGTTCTAGCTTCTATTACCCCAGTTCTAGCTTGTATACAGCCAGTTCTAGCCAACACCTTGCTAGTTCTAAACCCAACAAGGGTTTTTTACATGCACACTTGTTAATTCTTGCTTCTACGTTAGTTCTAATTTCTATTATCCTAGTTCTAGCTTGTATACAGCCAGTTCTAACCCACACCTTGCTAGTTCTAAACCAAGCCCGTGTTTTTTACATGCACACTTGTTAATTCTTGCTTCTACCTTAGTTCTAGCTTGTATACAGCCAGTTCTAGAACACGGGCTGGGTTTTGAACTAGAACTAACTCGAGGGCTACTAGAACTACCACGATAGCATCTAGAAATAACATATCATTAGGTATAACTATTATCAAATATAATTAACAACGATTTATAAAAACATGATTGTATCCTCATTTATAACAACAATTTATAACTACCGTCCCAGCTTACAACGATTTTTGGTAATTAAATATTTTTTCAGCCTATTTTGCTAATTAAGCTTTAAAAATGATCTATTTTAAAAATTTGTTCGAAATTAAAATACAAAAAGACTGCGCACATTAGGTTTATTGCAAATTCAGCTTCCTCCAAAAAGGTGTGGATGTCTCATGAAAGTGGGAAAATGGGGACAACTTTTGATTATTTTTTAAAATTAAATCGTTCATTTATTTGTAGCTGGTCAAACATTTTTTTTCTTTTTTTTCTTTTCTTCTTCTAGCTAATGGATTAATGCTCTGTGCGTCTCGACGGCGGCGATCTACGGCGGGGGAGCGGCGATGATCTACGGCGACGAGGACGGGTAGAAGAGAGGAGGGGAGGCGGCGGCGAACTCGAGGGGAGCCTTGGGGGACTGAGCGGAGGCGGCAACGGCGAGGAGGGCGAGGGCCAGGTTGACGAGCTTGAGAAAGCTCTTAGTTTTAGAGAGAGAGAGAGAGAGAGAGAGAGAGAGAGAGAGAGAGAGGAGATGAGAGAGAAAGATGATATGATTGCTGGGTCTGAGAGATTGAGGAGAGAGGATAAGGATAATTTGGGGATTTTAGCTTAGCTGACATGTAATAATTGATAAAAAAAGACTGCAGTACAAAGGTTCACACATCAAGGAGCTGATTCACATGGGGAAAACTATGAGGGGCCTCGTCACATGAAGTTTCTGCTTTTGGGGCATGTACACATTTTTCCCAAAATTGAATGAAGCTGTAAAGTAACAAAGTGAAATAGTCCCAACACTTTCATATTACTATATTATCTATATTATTATTATTTTCATATATAGACTTCAGGCTTACACACAAGCGCACAACTAAATGAAACACAACAGGCTCGCAGAATCACTTCTTACAAACCAAACTCAAACACACAGCACAAATATATATCATATTTCATAGTCTGCTGAATCAATGATAAACCTCAATAATCGCACGTAATCCCAGAGCAGGAGTTATTTTGTATTCTTTGAATCCTGCATCAAAGAAGAGCCTTTTCCATTCTTCTTCATTTCTTTGCTTCCCAGGCGTGTGGATCATCATGTGAAGGTCAAAGTGCAGTTGTGTTTCAGTCAGTTTATGATGCAGACCTTCATTCTTCAACACCTTGTCGATGATAATCACTTTTCCTCCTTCTTCTTTGGGTGGAGTTGCCTCCTTACATCGCTGCAGAATTTTCACGCATTGCTCATCATTCCAGCAGTGCAGAACCCACTGCAGATGATACATATCAAGAAGTAAAAAAAAAAAAAAGTTAAAAGCAAGGTGGTCATTCTTAAAGTCTCGGCAACTAAACTAAAAAGTCTGAAGTCTGGTGAGGGTTTAGTATTATAAATTTTTTTATCATTCCCCCAACAGTTTGAGGGCTCTTTAATGTGCTGAAACCTGGACGCAAGTAACAGTTTTCCAAGTCTTCTTTAGAAATTCGTAGCAAGTACGATTCGCACATGGGCTGCTCTGATACCATCTTAAAGTCTTTGTCATTAAGTTGTTGTCAAGATTAAGTGTTATAATTTTATACTCCATAAATAAATCTTTATTTGTTTCTCAAATTAATAGTATAAATTTATCATCCTCTATTTCTGCAACAACATAATAAAGTTAATCACCCTTTTTAGTTGATTTACTGTGAGTAGTTAACTTGCTGCATTTCAACTTACTGAAATTATTGGAACAGTTAGAGTAAAAGACATTTATCTCACTCCTTAATAAGTTACGTATGAAGAGAGAGAGTTTTTGGCCAAAGGAGCTTTTAAACTAGCTTTTCCATATCTACCTATATATTTGATAACAGCCCAATAAACTAGATTTAAGTCCTATTTAAAAATTTAGGATTTTGTAAAATTTTGATAAGAGCTAAGCTTAGCAACTCACTTACATAAATTAGGTTACTATCTATGCCTACTATTTTTATGAACTTCCTTTTTTTTTCCCCTTGTTTTCCCCAGGCGCAACTCTCTCTCATTCCATGTCAAGAACTTTGGGTCATTTTTACAACTCCACAGGCTATGAGCTACAGCTTATTAACATGACTCAGCTTTGCCAAACACGTAAAAATGACTTTTAATATATATAAATATAGAAGTCAAAACCATCAGAATAAACATAAGTCCAAAATATGAATAAGGACACAAACAACCTCATACCTTGAGCAACAATGCATCTGCAGGTGGAATGTACTCAAACATATCTCCAGCAACATATTGAATCCTACCTTCACTCTTATCCATCACCTCAATAACATGAGGTAAATCAAGAATTGTCACCTTCACCTCGGGAAAAGCCTGAGCCACCGCTCGAGAAATCATCACCGAACCTGCAGCAACTTCCACAACAGACTTCACATCTCCAAACAACTGCACACCAAACTCATCGACAACCACTTTGGTTATTAACCCCGAATCACTCTCCATCGCTCCTCTCAGCATTTTCCCAAACCACGGCATTTTTTCAATAGCCTGCCATAAATTCATCCCATGAGCCTTCTCAAACACGGTCGGTGGCTCCTCTTCTTTCATCCACGTACTCAAGAATTGCCACGGACTCAATATCGCTTCGTCCAACATCGCATATATGAATGGAGTCATGCACCCGCTTTTTTCCGACAGGAGAAGAGATGAGAATGTTGTGGGACTATATGTATCTCCTTGTGCATTTTGAGATGAGGAGAATAGTCCAGAATGGACTAGGAGCTGCATGAATCGTTGAAAGCAGGGAATTCTCGAAGAAGGAATGGATAAGGCAGCAGTGAGCTCCGGGAGTGTAATAGGTCTGCCATGTTTGTGGACTGCCTCCGGGATTCCGAGCTCGAGGGCCGATTTGAGGGAGAAGGAGTTAATGAAACCGAATATGTGGTTCCATAAATGGGATTGAGCTTCTAATAGCTCTTTAGAGTTTACTCCTTCAGTGGAAGCCATTGAGCAAACTCGTTCTGTGCTGCACTTTAACAAATTGCAGGATTATAATATTAGATGCACAACATTGTGTCGTACGACGACAACTTAGCAGTTGGCGTGAGCAAATCGCATTAATGTTATGTGATAATGATTTCCATGTAAAAATCAGCAGCAGGCCAAATTTTTAGGTAGCTAGCTTTTAGGTAAATTTTGAAAATAAAAAGTTGGTGAGTCCCATCATTAATAATATAAAATTAGTGTATAATATTTTTCCATCCACTATAAATAAGACCCAAAACTATCATCTCAGGCCACTGAGAAAGAATAAAAGGAAGAGTGGAGAGCTTGTGGATCCAGATAGGGGAAAATAATTAAAGAGTAGTGTAGTGAGATCCCAATAGCTAGCATAGAGAGAGAGAGAGAGAGAGAGAGAGTATTTGTATTTGAGAGTATAGTGTGTTTGTACTATTAAAAAAATAATAACAATATATTTATTAGTGTCCACCACTCCTTTCAACCCAACAATTACTATCAGAGTCTGGCTTAGGGTACGTGTATCTGCTTATCGTATACTTTGTGGCTGCCACCAAAGGTGGATCCTCCATATTAGAAAATAAGTTAGATTATTATTTACCATTTGAAGGCACTAGATACTATTCATGAGTATGGTACTATTCAAAAGTATTGTTACCATTCATATATACGGTTACTATTCAAAAATACGGTTAATGTTCATATGTATTGTTATTGTTCACGTGAAATAGTAAAAGTTGTAGCTCGTGATAGAAGCAAGACGGTCGGGGACCTACTCTTTCTTACGGTGATCCTATCGGCATTATTGAAGGCTAAAGTTCGTGCTCAGTCAGGGACTATGAAGTTGGTTTGTCAGGGACCAGACTTGCGTGGAGATACTGAAGCAGTACAACGCCACAATATGTTAAGATGATGAATAAGAATGAGATACCCAAGCATCCGTGACCATCATTGAAGATGTACCAGTTGACGAAGACGAGGTTGTTGGTATGGCACTAACCTCGATTGTAGAAGAAGCTGAGTCCGCATTTACAGCAGTTTCAGATCGAGAAGAAATCAGCTATAATGAAGATTGGATCATTGGTTCTGGTTGTTCCAATCACATGACGGGAGATAAGAAGAAACTTGTCAACATGAAAGAGTACAAAGGCGGCCGAGAAGTTGTGATAGCGAATAATTCACTACAATAAATTACGTCTTTAACGAAGGGGTTTCCCTTCGTTAAAGAGCTAAAAACTGTCGTTAGTGTATGCTAACGACAGGAAAAAATCCCTTCGTCACCCGTCGTTGAAGCCCTCTTCACTAAAGGGTCACGAAGGGATATAGTACCCATCGTTATAGAGTCTATAATGACGGAACATATTACTGTCGTTGATATCTACGACGGTAATTATCACTGTCGTTACCATTAGTGACGGGGTTATTTTCTCGTCGTTACCATCAGCGCGGGAATATTTTTCCGTCGTTACCATCAGTGACGGGATATTTTCCCGTCGTTACCATTAGTTACGGGGATATTTTTCCGTCGTTACTTTAAATGATGGGTTTTCATTCCCGTTGTTATTGTGTAATGATGGTTTTGTATGCCCGTTATTATTGTGTAACAACGGGTGACAACCCCTTCGTTAAAGGCTAATTAATGACGGTTGGATACCGTCGTAAAAGTCCTCATGGTGGGTAATTAGTAACCTATCAACGATGGTGCTTTCCCTTCGTTGATGAACAAAACGTGGTTTATAAAACCGTCATTATAGACTACAAATTTCTAATGTACATTAATGATAATTTTTCCATTCATATACAACTATCATATTATTCTCAATATGAAACTAAGATTCACAACACAAATATATTAAAAATACTCAATAATGAATAAAGGAGAAATCAAAAACTCCATTCATTAATAACATCAATAAATAAAATTCCATCATCCTCAAATATTCAACACTAATAACAAGTGTTAATATCCCAATTGTTCTAAAGGAAAATATGTGAAACTATCTAAAACAAATTAAAATAGAAGTCTGAGAAAGACACATCGTTTCATCTCTAATCATCGTCAAAAGAAGACTCGAGCTACCCCATCTCCTAATCCTGCATGGATAACCTGGAAAATTAAAAAAATCACATAATTAAGAAATATCAATTAAGAAATTATTATCTTATTAAGTAAAAATCTCATTTTCTCAAGTGCAAGTAGTCAATCATAAAAATATATAAGAGATTTTATAAAAAATAATTACCTAGTCCTGCACATGTTCTTTGAGGAGTCAATGAAGATGGCTGCCTAAAAAAAATCCTGCATAGCTTTCACTTGTGACTCTAAGTCAAACATCATTTGTTGTTGTTGATGTTGTTGTTGCTCCTGCTCATATTTCATATCCTTCAAACAGAAAAAATGTTCAGCCGATAAAATAATTATGCCTCTTTTGTATGATGTCCTCTACAGATACAACAAATGACAGTCTCTTGCTTAATCTTCTATATTTAAAATCGACATCTTTAATGGTGAAACACAAAAGAAAACAGAAAGATGACCCTTATTATGCAAGATACATAGGAATAGCATGCCATATGAGTAAAAACCATGGTAATAGAGAAAGGGTAAGCTATCTAAGATATCGTTGAAGAATGGAGATCTATAGAACCATTTTCACGTGGTTAAATAGTAAGTGTGAAATGAACTTGACATTAACTATGCTCAAAGGTTCCCATAATTAACTTCTCAAGCATTAATTAAGGTTCCCACAATATTACATGCATTCATTTTTGCAGACAAACATAATTCACTACAGTACTTAGTAATACTTCTCTCTCCTATTGTTGTTGTCATTACTTATTATAGTCATGATCATTATTCTTTGAACAAAAGCCTGAATCCCCTAGGAATAAAGTCATGAATACTCCATAGAGGACTCATTAAATTTGAACTAGGCTCTAGCCTTGTACAGAGCTGGAATAAAGTCATGAATACTCCATAGAGGACTCATTAAATTTGAACTAGGCTCTAGCCTTGTACAGAGCTTGATGCCAAAGTAATACTCCATAGAGGACTCATTAAATTTGAACTAGGCTCTAGCCTTGTACAGAGCTTGATGCCAAAGTAACTACAAAGGGATTTTTTTTAATTCACTGGACAACCTTTAACAGATCTAATTCATTGGACAGGTTACATCTATTGCTGAGGAAACGGGTGTGATAAATAAAGAAGATAGCTCAAAAGAATATCACATTATGTTGATTACACTTTTGGGCTGCTTAGAAAAAATACACATTTTTGGGAGTGCTCTAACAACTAAGAATAGCATGTAGACTTTTTTTAACAAGTTCTGCCATGTTCCAAAACAAATAAAAAAGCTTCTCAGCTTGCAACCAAATGATGAATGAGTAGGACATGCTTAAAAGTTTTGACATCTGTGTCTAGATAGTGTAGTAGATAACAATAAAAAGCTCGTTAATCTTTGATTGTATAATATCATAAATAAAAATTTTTGATATTACTTGGTGCTTGATTGTGAGATGACTCATTCCCATCTACTTTTTTAAAGGGAGACCATATGGAAATAAGTGCACAAGGGTTGGCTGATTAAGGGGTTGTTATTTTCAAATGGGGGCCTTTTAAAAATATATATGAGTAATACCCAGTGGCAAGTATGATTCAAATTTACATATATTGTTGTTTCTGAGATATGTGATATTAAGGTTGATCATAAAAGCCTTCGCTTCTCATTTGAAAACATGTGCTTGCCTAAAAGAAAGGATTTAGTATAAGTTAGTCATCCATCGAAGTTGACTTGTTGTGAGTCCGTCTAGCCACAGTTCATGTTTAAGGAACCACTAGAACAGACCGTGTAAAATTTTCTCACGTCTTCAACTTATCTCACCCTTTGAGAAGCATCTAGTATATTTTAATATATATTTTTTGTATAAAGAACTTTAAATTTAGCTTTTTCATATCTACATATTTAGTAACATCCTAATAAACTAGATTTTGAAACAATTTAATTTAAAAAGTTGGGATATTCAAACTTTTGAAACAAAGCTCATCTAAATAAATTAGGTCTGATCAATCAAATGGCCAAGAACATTCTAGTAGGAATTTACGATAAACTTATTAAGATCGCACGAGCTCCAGTGTGATTAGAAACTAATCATGCTCTTAAAGGTGGACCACACGTTGGAAGTTGAGAATAATCTCCAATAACGCATTCAAGATGCATAATGTCGCAAGAGGGGAAAAGTGCGTAGTTAATGCAGTGGTAGAGTTTAACTTGAGCTGCTCATATTATGACCTGAGCTCGAGATGGTATAAGCAAAACTTCAGAGAGTAAAGCCAAAACGATAACAACTCTCATTCAAAAAGGCTAAATCAACAAAACTTTTCCATTACCTCTTGGATCCCTCTATACATCTCAAGTATCCGAGTGGATAAACAATAATTGTCCAAAACAATCATGTAGGGTAGAAAGGGCATAAACTGAGCTAGTTATGGAACAAACTAATTATACACTATGCTTGTGGATTCAATGACCAAAGAATGTACATAAAAAAGACATAAAACAGGAATCATCATCAGTTCCTCGATGATCTTGGTTTAGATCTCATGCTTGCTCTCCGGACCACATCCCATGCTTTTTGAGGAGCAAAAACACCTTGCTGTGATGCAAAGAATGACTCATATCCTGGAGAATCGAAAGCAAAACCAGTGTGCTTTGATGTCTCCCTGGGGAGTTGTGCAATAGCATAGCTCCTGGCCTCATCTGCTGTCAGATGGTTGCTGATCTCTATAAACTCGGTCCTTCTGCTCTCTTCAGGTTCATTTTTGTGAATCTCTTGCACGATTTGGTAATCATATGGGAACATGAATCTTTGGATCCTGAAAAACATAGTTCTCAAGTAATCAGACTAAACTGCAACTGCAGCATATAAAACAAATTCAAGAGAATATTGTTTAAAACCTCTTTTTTGAGGGATCAGAATACCATAGAAAATTCATGTATTAACATGCTGTTAATTCAAGGTTCGATCAGTAGCCACCAATCAGATAATATAGAAGGGCTAGTTTGGCTCTTATGGAAAAAACTATTTGGATGGAATTTCAAGCATGAAGCAAAGTAAGACATAAAGTGGAGGCAAGGCAGGGGGGTTATATAGTCTCTATATCATATGTGGTTTCATTTAGGAATTTTGCATGATGAAATCACGATGTTTGGATGATCACCATTTTTTTTTTTTTTTTGAAGGCTGGTAGAATCTCAAGCTTATGTTGCATAAAATATTGTCATTTAGTGCTTCCCACATGTGACCAAAATAAAATGTGTATTATTATAAAGTTACAGTCAAATACGTATGACAATACATGGCCATGCAAACTGGACTATAATCTTGATAACAAATCTAGGGATTCTTTCTTGAATCACAAAGGTTGGTCATATAACAATCCTTGTAAGTATCCAGCATCATGAGCTGCCAATGCTGGTACCTGACCCTAATGGAAAATCAAGTATGACCCATACGGCGTGGCACAGTGAGCGACTATCCAACAGTTCAAAGTAACATTTGGGCTAATGCTGATTTACCAAAGGGACATTTCTTTAACTCCAAGGTTCAGTGCAAACAGAGTAGGAGAGCTGTCAAAGTTTGAGGTACAATAAATTACATATGCCCCAATAAGCCTAAAGACAAAAGAACATGAAAACAAATACAAGTCAAAAAGGATACACTATATCCAACCTTGGAACTTGGAAGGTGCATTACCTTTTGCCCTCTGTCTAGGCACTTCTAACTTCCATCTAGGATTCAATATAGGTTCACTACTTTGTTGTAATTTCATTTCATAGGATTGATAATTAAGGTTTCATATCTTAGTGCCTGTTTCAACCCTTCAGCTGCTAATAATTAAGGTTTCATATCTTAGTGTCTGTTTCAACCCTTCAGCTGCTAAAGACTTATCAATGCTACAAAAGCACCCAAAAACTATTCTAGTGAGGCATCAGAAGAGTTTCCTGAAAATTTTCGGTAATATAACCTTAGGTCAAATCTTCTCCATGGTAGACCTCAGCTGCAGCAAAACAAATTGATTGTTCGACAACTCTTCTTTTACTTGGTCTTTCTTAAGTACTTACTGGCCAAAATTTTGCAACATGACGAGTTTGACTCCATTATACTCGATACAACTTTGCATACCCTTCATTCTTCCTTGACTAGTTTTTCACGTAATTTCACATTATAGGACATTAGTTTGATTCCATGGCAGCCTACAAAACTGCTCGTCTACCTTTATTCTTCTAATCAGGTAGCAACAAGTTTCTAGGATTTTTATCCCCCAATATTTTCATCTTTACAAGTCTGTTAAACAAGTCAAGATGAACTATTTACCTCAAATTTACACGAACATTCACAGGAAAAATATTGCATTACAGTTTTTCTGATTAGTTTTCTTCAAGACACCTTTACTTCATTAAACTCACTTCCCACTCATACCTATGATTCCTCTTAAGGGAATATATCGTTCACTTAACTCTCTCGTACTTCACATTAAAATCATTTATGTACATAACTCCCCATTCTTCTTCCCATCCTAGCTTATTCTCTTATATTAAGTACATGACCCTATTCACTTCTCTGTTCTGTTCCCTATTCACTTCTCTGTTCTGTTCCTAAAACTTTCACTCAATCTACACTTAAGTTTTATTGCTGTAGCTATTAAATTTCCTCACTTCATTAAACTTTGTGATAAACCATTACCTTTCAATTCTCTACAGATCTCTCCCGTTCCTTTATTCTGTTTATTCATCTGCCTAAATTTCCTCCTCCTCATTCTCTGGACCAAGATAAACCTAAATGGTATGCAATACCTGCCGTCCCCTTCAAACTCTCCTCCTTGCAGAAAGTCCCCATAAGATCCAGAGAGAGCGCTAATTCTCTTCGTTTTTTTCAGATATGCAACAAATCGCTCAATTTTTTCAGATATTGCCTTCCTTTAAAATGTAGTAATAAAAACATAGTTAGGCAGAGCTAAGCTAACATACATGAGGAAATGTGCATGACCACCACGACTTGTTAGTAGGAAATTTTAGTCAGAAATTAGAGTTTTCTGCCAGGTATTCCTTTTTTAATGAAAAAATAATGAAACATCTTAAAGATGAAAAATTAGAAACTCATAGCAGTTCAAATTTTATGGCATGTTCAAGAAATAAAAACAAATTCAAATTTTCAAAGTGTCTCACCCTTGATATAAGAAATCACCAAGGAGTGCAATGACTGGTACGAGCAGAAGTGTCAAATAGAAATAGAATGTACTCATAAGCACGTAAATGACAAAGAAAATATTTTCCTGCAAGAAGTGAAAAAATATAAGATGTCTATAAATAGGGGGGGAAATGAACAATGGATAATTTAAAAGAAACTTACTTGTCTATCGTTTGGCGTCATTATTCCAGAGTATATAAAAATGAAAAGGAACCATGCCAAAATACTCCCAGAAACGCTTATGTAATGCCATCTTGTTATAGAATTGCATGCCATAAGGAGACGCAAGTTGACAGTAACCACCACACAAGTAAAGGCCATTGTGCTAACATCCCAAAGGCCAAATATCTTTCCTGATGAATTGTGACCATTCTGGCTAGCAGTGACAGTGAAATGATAAATGACTAATGACTGGTAAAAAGAAAAGAAGGCCCATATCATGACAACTCTCCACTTGAAAAACATATTTCTAATTCCTTCCTTGTAAAGCTCTGGGTATCTTTTTGATATAGATGCACTGACATCCTGGTACAAAATACTTAAAATTGTAGAGAAACAGTTGATTGAATTTGGTAAAATTGTAGAGAAACAGTTGATTGAATTTGGAAGGTTAAGGAATAACCCAAAAACAAAGGCAACACAACATACCTTGTCAAACAAACCCACAATGATCACAGGTAATGCTGTAAATATGACGTTATATAGAGACTGGAACCAATCATCATAGAACCTCTGACCAGAAAAGCCAGTCTGGAAGGTGAACCAGAACTGGGTCAATGTGAAGGTAAGATTCTTGTAGAAAAAGTAAGTGATAACCTGCACATAAAAGACTCTGAGTAATCTGGGATCAGTGCTAAGTGATCTGACTCCAAGGAGGCAAAATAAACTTAACCTTGCATAATCTCAGATATGACCATCGTCCATGCACGAGCAATAAATCAGTTAGAAACCGGAACTGCGCGATTGCAAAATCACTCGCCATTACAGCTTGCATTCCCTCCATTCCACTTATACCAACACCAATATGAGCAGCTTGAATCATGCTTACATCATTGGCACCATCCCCGATGCTCAAGGTGATCTTTCGAGCACCTTTTTTTACCAGGCTAGTGACCTTCAATAAAGAATGCACATCACAGTTAACTAATAAATATTTGAATTTTTTAAAGGACCATCACAAAAATTTAAAACAATGAAGAGTTTAGCGTAAAGATAAAATTCCATCATGAAAACTTTCCATTGATTAGAGGGCAAAAAAATTGTCAACAAATATGTTTTTATAGATCAAATTGTTATATACATAGCCACAGAAAAAATCCTGAAAAAAAGTGAAAATTAAAGTAAATGGATATTAAAAATCCTTTCAACTTCAATCAACTTCAATTATAGTCTGGTGAATTTCTTTTTGTTTTAATGAATCTTCAAATTAAATGAGAATTAGCATCCAAAACTGAAAAGACATATGCCACAGATTACCCACAAACTCTGGTATAGGTACTCAAATATAACCAGATAGATGATGTTCAATGAATAGAGGTCACTTCACAAATGATTCTAACATATCAGCTATCATTTACATGGTCAGTATGCCCAAAGGCAGTTCCTACTTCCTACTCTCTGATTTGTCCCAAGACTCCCAACAAGTTAACAGTTTCTCTCAAGGTAAACATGCAGAACATCACAATCATCATCAAAGTTACCTGTGCTTTTTGTAATGGAGAAACACGGCAGCAGACTACTGAGCTGCAATTCAAACTCAAGTTAAGCAGATTCACTCGTAAGGTCGGTTCCAATGCATGCATCAAACATTTTCCATCAATTATAAGAGCCAGCTTAGGTCCAAAAGGAGTGCGCAAGCACTGCTTTGCCTCCTCAAGATATCGTTCCAAATCTTGTTTTACTGTATCTCTGATACAGCGTGCAATCTCTGCAAGGTCACCCTGGCAGTAAACTTAGGACATCAGCAAAGGTGTCAACGATAAGGATATCTGGTAATATAAAAAGATTTGGAGTACTAGAAGAGCAAAAATGGAATTAGTACGAAAGTGAAATTTATCATGCAAAATGCAGTTGCAAGGTAATAAACAGAATAAGTATGAGGAAAAGACACAGGAAAAAAAAAAAAGTGGAACATATTCAACTATGAGACCACATATTGGTAACAGTAGAGCATATTGCATCAGGGAGAGGAACACTCGAGAGTTTGCAACTTGATTTTGCAGTGGGATGAGTTAACTTAAGAGATAACCAGGACATCGATTTTGCAGTGGGATGAGTTAACTTAAGAGATAACTTAAGAGATATTCAACTATGAGTTTGCAAATCGATTTTGCAATGGGATGAGTTAACTTAAGAGTTAAGAGATATTCAACTATGAGTTTGAAACTCGATTTTGCAGTGGGATGAGTTAACTTAGAGATAACCAGGACATCGAAAACCTTCGCAACCTTGTGCAGACAAAAGCAACTATATGATGTAAATCTCTATAATCCTTTCAGTCAGATAGTGAAATTTAACCACCAGGCTATGATAGCAAGTTTCACCATTACATGATAAGTACTAGCTCATCTTACCTTCTCTTCAGCCTCTCTTATAGCATCGGTTTCTGAACTGATGATAAATTGCTTCATGCTGTTGTTGATCAAGTTGCATGCTGCACGTGAAAATGAAACTCTCGTAGTTTGTTAACTGGAAAAATGATTTACAGAAAGTGAAGAATAATACTGCCTTAATTATAATTAACAGGAATTAACTTATTTGCTCCATAGATGAGTTAACAATAATTAAGGCACATTAACAAAACAAAAATAAAAATTTGATCCGTTTAACAACTACAAAACTATCTCTAATGATAAGCAAATAACCAAAAGACTCAAAATTGCAATATCATACCATAGGCTATATTAATCGCTGTTTCCATCTTATCCCCAGTTAATACCCAAATCTTTATTCCGGCTTTAGCGAGAGTTTCTATACAAGATGGTACTCCCTCTTGAAGCTTGTCTTCAATGGCTGTGCATCCGATTAGTATAAGCTCCTTTTCAATCATCTCAGCAACCTGCAAATTCACAATATGAAATCTATAATATAGGAAAAGATGATAGTGAATGAAACAAAAAAAATGCAACATATAAACACCCATCTACTCTAAAAATAATGAGTAATTGTATATGACTGACTCCTTCCCAGGTTAGGTTCTAAACAAACTACTGTAAAAGAAAAAACCATGACTTAACATGAAATTCTGACAAGACTTGAAGGTGATAATGTTAGCTTGGTGTACCCATTGCAACAGGAATCACATTTGCCTCATGCAACTAATAATAAGCTCATCATTATCCAAAGTATTATAGGCATCTATTTGAAAATCTACCTGGTTGAAGTTTATTCTATGTAATTTGGAGTGCCTACTAGAAAAATTTTAATGCTCAACTTGTCTAGCATCTTATAGCTGCAAAGCGAACTCCCAAGTAGCAAGTTGCTTAGTTTTATGGTCTAGAATGTCTCAAATTGGTATACAAAGTGAAGGTATGAATCATGATTCAGGGTGCAAATGGATTGGATATGGTAATTATCATATTTGTAATTGGTATCTAATCATGGCTACCAATACAAATATGGACATGGTTTGGTATGGAAAATCCACAATCCATATGCGAGAAAATTGAAATAATATGAATCAAGTTAGAGAAAAACATATATAGATGAAATGGGGATATGAGGAAAATAAGTAGGACCGAAAAGTATACAGGAATTGTGATACAATAACTGGTTAAGTAAACCAAAATTTCCCAAACCAAAGTTCTGACGTCTAAAAAGCTAGAGTTAGATCTCTGGAACAGAAAATTCGATATGAGAACTAATCTAAGGTCAAAATAATTTTTTAGCCAACAAGACACATATACTCTGTATGGATACTCAATAAATGTATCCTATGGAGTATTAGATGCGAGTATATTCATGGATATCCATATCCTTTTTCATCCCTAATCATGATACTATGTTGTTCAGATTTTAAATTTTTATGTTTCAAATCATAAACCTAAACTACTAGCCACTAGTTCCTACCGTTCATTTTGTACCCACTTGATGCATAGTAAAAAAACATGAATTCATACTTTTACACTCGAAAATCATGCAGATTATGTCCAACATAGAAGAATTTTAAAATGAAAATTTTGACTCCTAATTCTTCTGGAAGTACACAAGTACACATGCATAAAAATATAATGTACATATATATATATACATAAACATATTCATATGTATGTATGTAAGTACATCCTTATTCTCATATCTAAATTATGAATGTCAACTTCAACATAGTGATTTTTAACATTCCAAACTCCAATTGGAATAATTCAATACAAGAATTCCGATCTTTTATGTAACACTTATTTCTTACACTCTTACAGGAATGTCTATATTAGCATGAAGAGCTTGCATGTAATAATTGAATATCTAAATTTCAATTTTGGTTCATATAGAGCTAAACGCCATTTATACATGTACCAATGTACATATCTATACAGATCCCCTAAGTAACTCGATCTTTTATGTAACACTTATTTCTTACACTCTTACAGGAATGTCTATATTAGCATGAAGAGCTTGCACGTAATAATTGAATATCTAAATTTCAATTTTGGTTCATATGGAGCTAAACGCCATTTATACATGTACCAATGTACATATCTATACAGATCCCCTACGTCTTTTAAGAACTGTGTATCCTGTATCAGTGTATTGTACACTCATCTCGTGTCACACCCTGCTGCTTATGATAACAATCAACAAGATTTCCAATCCAATCAACAATAGAAGAGATTGAGTAATAATGCCAGGGAAAACATAAGCTAGTTTCTTTCTCCAATAGCCACGTCTATATCTCAGGTTAAGTTGCCCCTCTCAATTACTTATTATCTTTATCGAAGCTAGATCAATATATGATTCATCAAGAGAATTACACTCTAGTCCATATCGGTTTTTCCTGCAAAGGCTGGTATATATTCACCAACGCAACATAATTAGATTAACAGAAAGCAGTATTATTCATAATGTTACACTAATCAAAATATATTAAGGTAAAGCTTAAACATGGTCAAACAATATTAAACCAACTCCCACTATTGTCTCCTTCTAAGTTTCAACAGTTTCTCCAGTAAGCGCGTAACATCTTCATTATCTTTCCATCAGTTCCACAAATCCCATCATCCAAGCTCTGTGATAAATAGAGCTCTTTTCTACATCTATTTTTAACTCTCCCTCATCAAATCAAAGTCAAACTTAGTTTTCGATCTTCATTTCATTATGAAAAGAAATATTATATATTTCGACAAGGAACAAAGCTGATTTTCTCAAAGCTGCTTTCTTTCAAAGTAAATAAGATATTAAGCACAAAAAATTCAATCCAAATAAAAGCACAGTACTGAGTTACCGAAGTTAAACCCTATATAGTATATGGTCCCCCGAACAAGTCCTGAAGACTGGCCAGTATTCCTTCATATAAACATAGTGGGATCATGCTTGGAAAATTGATAATGGGATCATGCTTGGAAAATTGGTAAACCATAAAACAACATAGAAGATCATATGAGAACAAAAGAACTGGGAACTCTCATCTTAATTAATTCTTATAATTCAATGGTCAACAGTAGTTATCAAAAATATCATGAATGTAACTTACAAGAACTAACATGGCATCCTTTCATTTATTGAAAAAATAGATAACTAAATTCGATCACAACAGTATACAAACAAATTAATTACCTAAGAAAGCACAAAGTACACAATAGTATTCTAGCCAACTTAAGCTAATCAAGTAGTTGTGGTACCTCATCAAGCTTCTTTTCACGGTCTAGCAAGGACGATTTAGCTTGAATAAATTTCTCATTCCACTTCTCATAAAATTCATTGCTCATGTCACGATAGGCAAGGCATAACGTACGTAAACCAGCAGAACCAAACTGTTCTAGATGCTCCCGGGTCAACTTTTTAAGCTCATTATTTCCATCTGCTAACCTCTCATAGATGACAGTATCAGCACCCTGCAAAGTTTGTTTTCCCACTTGAGTGACGCAATTTGATTACAGGAATGAAGAGGAAGTAGAAGTGGCATTCACCTTAGAATACAGAACAAGCCTTCCGTTCGCATAGCGACAAACAACTGATTGCCGCTTCCTCGTACTATATAACCAAGAAAAATCACAATGTCACACTTCCCAAAATAAGGAATGTATAAGTAACTGATATTGTGGGGTAAATGTCTACCTATTAAATTCTAAGACATTTAAGATTTCATATGCAGCATCTTGAACTTTTCCCATCTTGTCAGCATGCGATTCACGAACCATAATCGCAGTTGGTGTCCGCCTATGAAAGAAAACTACGATTCAATATGTAGTAAGGACATATAAACAGCGCAACGCAAAATGACTTCCAATGAATAGCTGACAATTACGAAATGAACTAGTAACAACAAAGCAAAAGTAAATTATTGGCTGTAAAAGCATACCATAGTCAATTATTGGGTCAGCTCTGAATCACTGAACGATAAAAAAGATATCAAATGTTGTTCGGTAAACATTGCTTCATTTTTTAATTAATCATATTTCAATATGCATAACATTTCAGGGGTACAATAAAATCTCATAGAAAAATAATGAGAGAATAAAGTACAGTCAAGATTAAAAAAAATTATTGCATGCAAAAGATTTAGAATTTAAAATTTTGTAACATACATTATCTAATGAAAACTATTTCTCATAAATGTTAGAAACCTTTCACCCAAAAAATTAAGCTAATGGGTTTTCAGCTAGCAATGTTATACCAAGCTTAATACTTGCATTTCCCTTCACATGAGCCTCTGGAGTTTGGACAACATGGAAACATGTTTAGCATACACATGACTGACTTCAACAACAACAAAGACTTGATCCCAAATTTTTGGGGTTGGCTACATGAATCCTATTCTTCCGTTCAGTTCTATTTTGGGTCATCTCCACTATTAAGTAAACTATTATCAATCCTTATAAATTGCTTCCCACCAAGTTCTTCTAGGTTTTCCTCTAGACCTCTTTGCACCCATTAAAATGTTATCACTTCTTCCCACTAGTGTATTAAGAGGCCTCCATCTTACCGATTCTCTCTCCTTTTATTCTCTATAGGAGTGAGCACTAATCTCCTGCGAATACACTCATTTCTTATCCTATCTTTCCACAAGACCATCATAATATTTTCACTCTCATTTTCTACACATGTTTTTTAATTCCCCAACATTCTCATCCATAAAACATTGGTCTTATCATTATGCAGTAGAATTTTCCTTTCAATCTCATAGCTATTTTATGGTCACATAAGACTCCAAAAGCACTCCTCCATCTTAACCATCCTAATTTGATTCGACGAACAACAACATTCTCTATCTCACCATCATCACGAATGATTGATCCTAAATAACGGAAGTTATTGTTTTTTAGGTATTTCTTGACTGTCAATTTCTGTACGATAGACTTTTTCACAATTTTACCAAAATTACATCCATGACTGGCTTGTAAACGCAAAAATAATAATGTAACAGAAGCTTAACATTTAGCATTCTCCTTCAAATGGGCCTTCAGAGTTTGGATAACATGGAAATGTGTTTATCATAAACACGACTGGCTTCAAAATGCCAAAAAGAGGAGACAAATTAGCTAGCAGAAACCCGGTGCTCTTGTACCATGTCAAAGACCAACTCACCCAAATTTGCAGTAGGTTCAACAATGCATATATATCAAACTTCACAATAAGTTAACAAACACCGGAGGCTTCTATTTTCCTTCACATTAAAAGTGACAACCCTGAAAGTGAAAATATTGACATATGTATCCTATGGGCTGATACTAAGATCACAAATATAGATAAAAGTTGGATTGCAAGTAACCGGTTTAGCCATCAAATCTCATGTTAAAAGTCGAAATACTGCACTTGTACACCTCTTCCCACTTACCAATAACAATCCAATAACTGATCATCAATGCAGCTTTTTCCTAAATGAAGCATAACCTAGGTTACCTGGACACTTCATCTTGGCCCCCGTATCCATGTCCAACACTTCGCGTGTCTGTGTCCGAGTTGGACACTTGTTGAGTATATACTTACATGAGTTCTTGAGTACATACTTAAATTTATGCAGGCATGTGTCCAATTATACAGCATGTTTTAGTTTAAAACACTCATGGTACACTTCTTGGACGTGTATCTTACACGTCGCCACAAATTTCTGCAACTTGCTGGATTATGGTCATTTCAGCCCATACCATGTTCATAAGTATGATTTTAAACAGCCATTTGAATATCTAGCCCCAAAATGAGCAGTGTTTCAGAAACATAAAAATTGTAAAGGGATTCTATTCCCATAACATATAATAAGATAACAATATTGATCTCATATAAATTATTAATTTCAATATTTGTATACATGGATGTGTCCCCTTATCTTACATTTTACAAATTTACCATGTCCTGTGTCCGTGTCCACACCCGCACCCATACCTGTGCAACATACAGCATAACAGAATATCCTTTTTCTTTGTCATTTAAAAAGCTTGTTAGTGATGTACTGCTAGCCTTTGTAAGTCTCACAGTTCAAATCTTGATCGGCAAACTTACCCTCCTCTCTTTAATAATCCGTTAACCCTTAAATCTGCAAGCTTGCAACTTCAAACTGCACTATGAAGACATACTTTTTATTCAATATGATTATGTTGATGTGGTTTCCATCAAGTATATTTCTTTTGGTAACTTAGGAATTAAAGCGCAAAAATCAAAAATCAACTAGAATTATCCCTATTCAATCAGTTAAATGTTACATATCTATTACAAAATTGTTCCAAGCTTTAAAAAAAATACCTGGCACACCCCTAAACCGAAGCCTATTTAGAAGAACTAACTCAGGCATCCATCCCATTACACTGATGGATTGATTACCTATCAGCTTGAACCTCTCTTAAAACAAAAGTGATAACACAAATTAAATGACTGCTTTTAGTAAATTTTTTATCATGGATCATGTCCCAAAAAGAGTCTCCTTACAAGTTGAGGGTAAGATTGTGTACATCTGAGTGCCGCCAGAACCTACAACAGCCTAAGCCTCATGGACCAGCCTTATCGTGGTAAATTTAATTATTGGGCTATGTTCAGTAGGATATGAAGGGAACTTCTAACATAGTGAATGATAGCAGCTAATAATATATAAGAAACAATTAAATAAGAACGCATTCATCTCAAAGGCACCATCTTAACCAGCAAGGTAAATGAAGTAACACCTCCGAAATACCAATAACAAAATCAGTTTTGAAATTTCTTACCTATGGATCAAGAATTTTCAAAATCAACATATAACGAAATAAGATAAATAAATGGTATCGAAATTACATATAAACAGAAAATATGGATACGGATACAGATAGTGGAAACAAGTAGAAACATACAGATAACTAAATGCATATTTGAATATACAAGACCATGTCATGGTATGTAGCTCAAAATCACTTTGAAGTCACATTATGCAACATCATGACAGTTTCTAATGTTATTACATTTTTTTAATTTCTAATGTAATGGAGTTACTCTCCTAGCAAATGCATTAGTCAAATTCAACTATCCCTTTTCATATTTGTATCCATCAAACAAAGCAATTTATCAACGCCTATATCCTTTCTAAACTGCTCTGCTTGCATGCCTAGGTAAGATTTTTTTTTTTTTTTTTTTTTTTTCTGCTTGCATGCCTAGGTAAGATTTTTTTTTTTTTTTTTTTTTTTGTCCGACTTCATCCCAAGCTGAAATTCCAATTGTTACTTTCAACATGGACATTTGAGTACTGATATGCTATTACAGGTTACATACCCAACTATTATTGTGTAAACCTTCATAAAGTGAGAAATGTAACAAAATTATGGTCAAAGATGCATGAATACATTTGGAAATAAATTCACCAAAATTCCTTCGCTTGAAATGTATTAGTCCTTCACATAAGTTTCACCCAAGGCTGTTAAGATAAATGTAAACTGTTCGAAACAAAAACACTGACAATATGATATTTGAGCATTTTCCTTAAAATAATATTTTTGCTTAGAAGACATAACTAAGATGAAAATGAAGAATAAGAAAGTGAGATTATGAAATCCATCCATTTGAAAAGTTAAAAAAAAAAAAAAGAGAATAAGAAGAATTATAAGTTAACCTGTAAAAGAAGAATCCAAAATTCTTTGCAGCAACTACCAGAGCAGACTCATCTGGTGATGCAGCTTGGTACTTGATCTTTTCAGGAGTTTCCTCGCCTTCTGGAAGAACAGTATGGCATATTGCAAGACATCTGAAGAACTCCTACATAGCATATAGGAAGGGATTGAGAATTAAAGGCAAGGCGACAAGTTGTAGGTGAATTGATAATATGGAAAGTAACTGCTTGTACATTTTAAAATCACAATACATATATTAAGTTACAGAAAGATACATATTAACCATGTTTCTGACTGATTTATACTTGTTTTCCCATGTAAGATGAATGTTGCATATGAGATAACCCATTCTCCTGGGTCCACGCTACCGAGTATAAGTAATCCCAGCAGCCCTTACTATCCCATAAGACTACTCATGCGCTAGGTCCCAAGGACGAATTGAATATATGAAACGAACATTATAGAGGCTCTAAATCAATCAAAGAGGTTAGGGTCCACGAGTAAACTCACTTCCAAACAAGCGTAATGAGACAGAAAGGAGGTTATTGTGTCATGCATCAACTCTAATAAATCCCTAAATGGATAATTGTTGTCGTCTGAAATCACAGATGCAACATACCAACTAAGCATGTCCACCCGCTTCCAACTAGGGGTGCACTCGGTCCGGATACGGCTTAGATATGATACTTACCATATTCATATCCGCTTACCCATCTCAGATACGGATATATCTCGGTAAGAAAAATTCATATCCATATCCGCTAAAATTGGATACGGATACGCATATACATGCGACATATAAGCGGATATGCATGCGGATGCAAAACGGATATGAGAAAACTAGATGCTATTGAAAAAATATAGTTCATGTGATACAAAAGAGTTCATTAATATATTCGTTATATCTGAAAAAACTAATATTAGATATCTTGATCATCAAAATTAACCTCAAATCCATAATCTAAGGATTAAAACTACCGTAATAGTATGACTAATATATATTCGGATATTTCGGATACGGATCCGGATATTTCACTACAAAATCATATCTATAACCCTATCCTATCGGTTATAGATTTGAGTAACCATATCTGTATTCTATTATATACGGTTATGGATATTTCCTCGGACACGGATACGGTTTAGCACCCCTACTTCTAAATCTTACAGATGTGTAAACTATTGTTTTTTATTGACAGAATGCTATAGTTGAAGGACAATGTGCCCCCTTTTCAAAAAAATAATTGTTTAATAGATCATTACAATAGTAGATTCTTACTTATGTTAATAACAGTAAACAAATATATGTATACGAGTTAAGTGTATTCATGAATACATATGTACACATATATATATTCAGAAAATTTAGCGACACTATACACACACACACACACAACAAAAAGTATTCCTAGGTGAAACCTTAGATTCAATCTAAGAAAGCACCTTCAAGACTATGTTATATGTAATTAATTTACTTGATCTGCTCCGTTCACTTCGGGTTATAAGTTTTGGATTGTATATAAACAAAAAATTAGGCATATTAAGTTATAGTTACTCACATAAAGTAATTGTAAAATTAACAGTCTTGCGATAACATACCTAAAGACACAATCAAAAATGTCTTAAAAGTATTGAAACATACATCATTTTTGCTTTATAGATGTTTTGAAACATTTAGATCATGATGAATGGAGCGGATTATTCATTAGAATAGTTTGGTTCAAACATCAAGAGGTGCGTCCTAGGATTGAATCCAAGGTGTCACCTTAGGGATACCCCACCCCCCGTTCAAACATCAAGAGGTGCGTCCTAGGATTGAATCCAAGGTGTCACCTTAGGGATACCCCACCCCACCCCCCACCCCCCAAGAGAGAGAGAATTGAACTATTCTCCTCGTAGGAGGAGAAGGAATCTCCACCCATATTTGCAGCCATAAGGTTAGATTTTTTTATGGCTAAGACGTATTCAATCAAATCAAAGAAAATTTAGCAACAAAGAGCAACACTCTTGGCAAAATGCAATAGTTGCAGGACAATATGCCCTCTTTCCATATGTATTCAATCAAATCAAAGAAAATTTAGCAACAAAGGGAAATTCAGTCTTGATATTATATAAAACCTGAATATATAGATAGTATTAGGTCGTGTTTCCTTTTTTTCCCTCTCAAATCTGATTCAATTTGGTTCTGAGATTTCATGACTTCCCATAATTTTGGTCAATAGAATTATGTATTTTAAATTGGAAATCATAGACTACTGATTTCCATAACACTCATTCATGAATTATCTTCTTCAACTTTTTTAAAAGGGGATTATAAAATTGCCGCAATGCACACTCTGTTAAAATTTACATCTTTTCAATTTGTAACATGACATAGCAACGAAGAATATGCAACTTAAATGTGTTAGAAGTTAGAACATTCTTGAATGGCGGAAGCAACCAAAAAATTACTTACATGATTCTCATAGAACATTAGGTTCCTTGGGTTCCGGTCTTTCAGCATTTGGAATAATGAAACCAAACAGCCATAAACAAAACCATGATGGTCAATGAAAGAGGATGAGGTAAAAATGGAACCAGCCCAGCATATCCGGATTTACTGAAATATTAGAACCGAATTGCTTTCGATCTGAGAGGGAAAAGAAGGAAACATATCTGCATATCCAGATTTTATTGAATATCAAGATTAAATTGCCCTTTATTGCTAAATTTTCTTTGACTTGATGGAATATATCTTAGCCATCAAAAACTGAAGTTAACAGCTACAAATGTGAGAGGAGATTCCTTCTCCTCCTAGGAAGAGAATAGTCCAACCCTATGTAAGTGATGTGTCAAAACAGCCACGTCCTTGTCAGAGTATGGAATAAATGCGTTTACTCATAAGGCAAAGACACATTTGAAAAAATCATAGATGCCTCTATGCGGTCTGCATTCAACCAAAGAGTTCTGCTTCACAATGCATTCATCCCTCCACGCCCCACCCCCAATCTATTGGCAGATTGAAGCTTTACATTTGATCCCCAGTAACACCATGCACTAGCAGGCCAGGATGCTAGAAAATTGGGGTATTGTACCTCAGGAGATCATTGGAGAAGGATTGTTTGCATGAATATGTGCAAATTGATCTCTTAGCAGCGAAATTCCATGACATGCTCTCATAAGCCAGCTTCCTTACCCTTTATCTAGTTTAAAGTTCAATTCTTCACAGGACTATCAAAAAATAATTCTAAATTTATAGTTTGCATTGATCATAAAAGTTTCACCACCATCAACGAGCATGTTGAAAGCTTAAAAGGCATCCGATTATAAAACTCCTGACCAGTAATATCACAATGAAACATACTCAACTAAAAAAGTTAGAAAGAATAATCCACGAAGAGAAGTTCTGAAGGTTTACAAGATAGATATAATGGATAACCCATATATAATTGTTAAATAAACAACATTTGAGGAAGAGTTCATCCCAAGAACACATTAGATCAATTGTATACCTTGCATGTCTCTGGGTCCCGTTCATTTCTCCATGCACCACGCATCAGTCTAGCATCATCAAAGTTGAAACCCTTTTCAACCACAGTTTTGGAAGATTGTTTAACCTGTCAAACACAGCATAAGATTAGAAAATAATACAAAGGTATATTTTGCACTATACATCAAGCATGTGCTATCCATGGTTTAGAATAACCATTCTAAGAACTAACCTCATCCGTGTTTAATCCATTCCGTTCAGCTCCATTCCGTTCAGCTCCTCCTCTCTCTATTTCAGTAATACCAGTGCCATACACCTCTCCACCAATTGAACACTTAAAGAACTCCATCAAGTTTCTCGTTAGTGTTCCTGTCTTATCAGAAAACACATACTCCACCTGCACCAAGAGATGCTAAAGTATTAATTATCATGGTATGATAGACCTTCGTTAAGTCCAAAAATAAACAAATGTGCATGCAATGACTTTCATGCCCATCTCTACGAGTCATTCCATCTATGATAATTTTGAAATTATCCTTGTACATCTGGTCGGCTACAAGAATTATTTTTCAACATATAAATTAAGGAGTTTCTGCAATCTGTGTGAACTTTTATGCTGTTAATTTTTCAAGGATTTTGAGAAAATAAATATTCATTGAATTTAAATAACCGGCTATCCAAACTGAACCAACTCTACATCTTGCTATAAACCATGTAGAATATGCTAAGTGATTGATTTTCCTTTTTGTTTTCCAACAAGTAGGCCAAAATAGGAAAATTGTTAAAGCAGATTGGTTTAAGGTTTGAAGTATACGAATCGAGATCCAGCCATTACCCATCATCAAAGTAGCAAAAGTGTGTTTGCAAGGGGCCTAGGAGAAACTCACCCTAAAAGCTAGCTTGTAGAGATAAAACTCAAATCCCTTAGAAACTCACATTAAGCTACCCATATAACTGATGTGGGGGCTAAATGAACCCTAACATACCACCACCCTTCTGATCCTGGCGCCCACACGGGCTAGTTTTACCCTAGTCTAGTAACGGTCAAACACCGCAATCTCGGTGTCACCCCTTTGGCTTTGCACTAAACTAGCGTCGGACGAACATTGTAATACAGATGTCACCACCCGGACCACTCGATTGCAACCAAGAGGTGGGGTTAGCTCTGATACCACTTGCAAGGGACCTAGGAGAACTCACCCCTAAAAGCTAGCATGTAGAGGGAGTGAACTCAAATCCCTTATAAACACACGTCAAGTTACCCATAGTATCGATGCGGGACTAAATGTGTGTGTATGTGTGCCTAAGTGAAGAAGGCTTATTTGTTCCTAGGACACAACTAGTTTGATTATACCCACCTTCAAAATAACATTATATGTGATCAATTTACTTGGTCCACTCCATTCATTTCGATCTATATATTTTGGATGATATATAAAAAAAGAAATATTTCTAATTAATGATTTAGAATTTAAAAAAAAAAGTTAACCATCTGAATATATGCATCTTGAATATCTAAGGTTTTAAACACAATACTATATTTGTTGAAGTTAATTTTTACATTTAAAACAAAGAAGTTATAATTTCCTAAATAAATTAAATGTTTTTTTTTAACAAAGATGTGATTTAATATTTAAAATTAGAATACATCTTATGGAATGGAAGGGTTTTTTCAAATATATACCCCCCCCCCCTTCAAATAATAGATATTTTTACATTTGCCCCCAAATCTTTATAATTCTAAAATTATCCCTCAAATTGCTCTATTCTCTCAAATTTTATCCCCAACATGACTTGTGTTAACTTATTTTAATAGTTTTAGTTGCTAAATTACCTCTTTAACCCTATTCTGTTTTGAAAAAATTATCATTACAATTACAACATGAATTTATTAAAGACGCGGGCCTGTTTTTTAAGGAAACCCTCAAATTGTGTGTTCTCTTACAGTCGGGTCGTTGTTTGCCATTGATTGCCAACCCAATGAAGAATTGTAATTGTATGAAGTGAATAAATTATTTCAAACACATTCAATTGAACTAAACAAATTCATCTTGTTGTCTAATGGAGATATTTTTATGCAATATAAATGGCGATTGAGAGGAAAGAATATTTCTATGAAGTATGCAAATTGCTATTTTGAGTTTACTGACAAGAAGAGCTTCTTCCCAATAGCATAGGATGAAATGACTAGGTGGGCTTGAATGTAAGATCATAGCAGTCCTAGAAATTAGGTTCGCCAGCAAACTGGATTTGTTGACGAAAGGAATGAAGCGAGTTGGAAAAAAAATAGAACCAACAAACTTTCACCTGTAATGTATTTTTCTTTCTCTTTTTTTCTTTTTTATTTCCTTTTTATTTTTCCCTCTTAACAGTTAAAATGGGATTAAAGGGTAATTTAGCGCTTAAACACATTAAGAATTTAACAGAAGTTATGGACAGGGGTAAATTTTAGAAAATAAAGCAAATTGAGGGCTAAATTTAAAATTATAAAGCTTTAGGGGGGCAAATTTATAAATATCAATGATTTGGAGGGTATATATCAAGAAACCCCTTTATGTAATAACTTCACAGAGCATTTGATAAAATGAAAGATAAAGAACATTTTAATATAATTTTAAATTTCTAATTTATAACTTGGAACTTAAGGAACTTTAGAAGAAAGGATAAAATTGAATGAAAACAAAAAAGGGAGAAAATATTACATATGAATGGCAGAATATGTAATTTTAAAAACTATTTAAGAACAATTTTGTATATGTGTGTGTATATATACAGTTTGGCTACTATTAATAGTAGCAATAGGTCTCTACAATCAGCTTTCCAACCGTCGGATTGTCTCAAGATTCGTACCAAAAGATATCCCTAAAAACTATTTAACAGACTTTAGTTCTTTTGCTTCTCTTCATGTTGGGTTTCTTCCATGATTATAAGAAGACAATTATAGAGAGATAATCATAGAAAGATACATATTAATTGGTTGTTTAGTTAAATTAAAATTCTAGGTTTTATTTTAATAATCGCGATTCTTAGGAACTGAGGAAATTGGAGAATCAATAGTTTCACCTCTTGCAAAATTGATAGTCTACAACACTTTCTCTCTTACAAAATCAAGTTAGCAGATAATTTCAAGTATTGGCCCTTCATCCAACGAATAGAGATGATCCAAGGATATGTGAATAGCTAGGTTTGATTTTAATAGTAACCCCTTTGATTTCCAATTGTTTGGCTAAGTATTTAAGAATAGTTTATTCTTTTTAAAACCAACGGCAGATCCCCAACTCAAATTGTCCATCTCATCAAGAACCAAGACTCATCTGTAGAAATCAAAAGGTTAGGTGGGGTAGTTTATATTATGTTGCTTCTTATAGTCACATTGAATGTGTTGCACTATATAATTGCGTTAGTTTGCTTCTCCCCTCTCTTTAGTAATTCTAACTTTTTTCTCTATTTTTTAAATTTCTTAATATATTAAAATGTAACCATATTTTCCTTTTAATGTCAGATAGTCAATAATGATTCAATTTCTAACAATATTGGTGGGACTGTGAACTTGGAACATATGCTGCTAGAAAATGAGACGGTCGTAGTCCCTGCAATATTAAATTCGTCAATTCCATTTGATGAAAATTTAAATGACGTAGACAATACTTCAAGGATAGATGTCAACCAGGATGCTCCTCAAGAACCAAACGAAGGGATGGAGTTCAAGACGGCGCAAGATGCAATGCAATTTTATAGCTTATATGCATACAGGACAGGATTCGGTATTCGCAAGTGCTCACATTATTTGTTAACAAAAAAGAGTATGATAATAAGTGAGCTGTTTCTATGTTCAAGCGAAGGTCAATATCAATCCAAAAGAAAAGGAAGTGAGAAAAATTCAACTGAGTAAGAAGTGAACACGCTGCAAAAGCAAGCCCAAACAATGAGAACCGGATGCAAGGCATGTCTAAGGGGTAAAATGGAAGATGATAATAGATGGATTGTTTCAATGTTTAGAAAGGAGCACAATCATGATTTAGAAGCTTGTCCTTCGAGAGCTTGATACTTTTCGATATTATCGGCATATTACTAAAGAACAGAAGGCTATAACCCATCTATTAAACGACCAAAATATTTCTGGTGGCCAAATTATGTCAGTAGTTGCATCACAACATGAAGGGACACAAATTTTGAGTTTCACCACGAAGGATTTGAGCAATGAATTTGTAGCAACTCGCAAAAAAAACTAGTTGGCATTGATGGGTCAAAGCAATATTTAATATTTTAAAAATTTACAAGGGGAGAATCAATCATTCTATTATCATATTTACGTTGAAGATCGTAATAGTGCACATGATAATGTTGTATGTAACTTATTTTGGATAGATGCCAGATCGAGTATAGCATATCAAGACTTCGGCGATGTCATGACTTTTGATGTCACTTATATGACTAATAAGTATTCCGTGCCATTTGCTCTATTTATTGAGGTTAATCACCACCCCCAATCTATTCTTTTTGGATATGCTCTGAATCAGGAATAAGAGTGCCAAGTCTTTTATTTGGGTATTCAAAGCTTGGTTGAAAGCAATGTTTGGTAAGCATCCAAAAGCTATCTTAACGATCAAGATCAAGTTATGAAGAAGCAATTGAGCTAGTTTTCATATCATGAGAAAGACTAGGGATTATCTAAGGCACGGTACACAGCAACAAAGAAGGATTTCATAGAGATTTTAAATCATGCATAAATAAGAGTCCTATAGTGGAGGAATTTAAGCAGAGATGGAATTTGATGATCAAAAGATAGAGTCTAGAGAACAACTCTCATATAAACTTGCTTTATTCAAATTCTCACCAAAGGGTTCAACTTATTTTAGACACTTCTTTTGCAGGTATGTCTACAACCCAACGTAGCGGAAGCATGAATGCCGCTTTAGAGGGGTTGTAAATTGTCATACATCTATCTATCAAGTTGTTACTCAGTATGAAAAAGCAGTGCAGAGCCAAAATGAGAAAGAAGACGAGGAGGATTTTAGAAAAAATCAAGTGCAACCATCATTGTGGTCAGCATATCCTATAGAAAAACATGCATGCAAAGTATATACTAGAACAATGTTCAAAATATTCAAAGAGCAATTAACATTAATGTTATCTTATGATTTAGAGGAATCTAAAACTAGTGGAACATATCTACTGACTGAGCTTAAAGATCTCGAAGAAGCAAAAACTCAGTGTGCTTCTTGCACAGTCATAACTAATGTTTCATTAGCTACTGCTTCATGCAATTGTAAGATGTTTAAACTCACTAGTATGCTATGCTCACATGTGCTCAATGTATGAATACAACTGAAGATACATCATATACCATCACAATATATTATGAAAAGGTGGACAAAAAAGGTCAAAAATTTGCAC